AAAATTTTTAGAACCAAAGTTGTAGAAGATCCAAAATAACGAACCAAATCAACACCGAAAACGAAGAAAAGAACCACCCAAATTAATTCCACTGTTCACACACCCAAAAAATTGATTTCACCAAAGTGGAGTATGTGTAGCAGCCGTTTTCTTCACCTCGGGATGAGCAAAAACCAAAACCCTAAAATATTATGAATCTAGGGTTTATTATCAAACCTTAGTTGTTTCCAAATTGGATTGGGTCTCCACAAATTAAATATAATATATAAAAATATATTATAATTAATACTAAACCAAATTAAACTCTTTTTCCAAAACCAATTGGGTCTCACACTCCAATATGGAGGTATACCCAACATAAATTATATTTTTTATCCTTATAAATTTCACTTTCGTTCCTTTTGCTTAATTTCAATAATTCGATTCTTATATTTTAAGTATAATTTCAATTTGGTCATTCGATTTAAATTTTCATTAATTTTTTTTACGTATACATCTTAAGAGAGTAATAACTGTCCTAAAATTATTAATTTTAACTTTTAATGTGTATGAAATAACCAAATTAAAAATAGACTTAAAATGTAAGAACCAAATTATTTGATTTGAAACAATGTGAATCAAAATAAAATTTGAATCAAATAATAAGAGAAAGATATAATTTACCTTTTTATTTTAAGTGTTTTTATATCAAAGTTAGTCATTTTTTTTTTTTTTTTTTTTTTTTGAACAGATAAGTCTTAGTCACTAATATTACAGTTATATATATATATATATTTAAAAATCTTAAAAAAAGTTTTATAACTTATCCACAATAAAATAAAATTTATATATTAATTTTTAATTTGTTACAGATTCAAGTACTATATAAAATTCAATTCCCTTCTCATATGGATAAATTAAGAGTTCTAAATCATGAGTTTCGTAGTATTCATTTTTCCTATTTTAACGTGTGAACATTAGGTATCTCCAAAGTTCGGTAAAACATGTAACATTTGTATTTTAAAAGGAAATTGACTTTTGAAAATATAAATTAAATAATTGAATCTTTGTTCTTAAAATGTTATGATCCAAGGTTATCACATTATTTTGAAGAAAAATTATATATAAAATTTTAATTTGGAGAAATGCTATTTATTGCATTTACCTCATGTTCTACATATATTCATGCAATAAATATCATGTGAATGATAAAACTCATCATGTTACATGAAAAATCATATCTCAAAATTAAAAGATTTAAATAATATATAAATATTACTCATCATAAAAGGTTCTACATTTGAAGGTTTGAACCCTTCACATGTTAAGAATCGTTGAATAAAATATTCATGTAAAAAATTAACATAATCAGATATCAATAATTATATGTTTTAGTTACATTTGTTTTTAAAAAATGGACAAAATTACAATTTCAAGAGTAGCCATTCATTTCGGTAATACAAATGTGATTCAAACATATATGTATCGATATCCCGTCATCGTAAGTTTTTGCATGAATATTTTACTTGATGAACACTAAAAAGTGAACGGTTTGGATCACTGAGGTCGACCTCCAGTAAACCAAGAACGGACCCATGATTTTCAAATAGAGGGGGCAAACATATATATACTAACAAAAATTTTAAATAAAAAGTATGAACTACAATATCAATTTTCTACTAACATATAAAAAGAAAAAAATAAGATAAAAACATATACAAATAAGCATAATTTTTTTATCCACATTTTTTTTTTAGTCTGCAAATAGGGCTTATGATCAAATGTAGTTATAAGAAATTAATTTCTTTTATTATATTTTGTCTAATTTTTTTTTAAAATTTTATACTTTGATCCAATGTTTTATAGATATAGAGTAACCACTTAAATTTTTTAAAACTTTTTTAGAGAGCATGACAAAAAAAATTTATAAAAAAAATATCTAGAGGGAGCGAGCCTCTGTAATTTGGAGATAATTATAATTAATACTACTATAATCACTACAACAAAAACATACTTTAGTGGCACTACACTAGTGGCATATTTTTAGAAAATGCCACAAAAATGATATTTAGTGGCACATTTTTGAAAAATGCCACAAAACGACAAACATAAAAGGCTCTAGTGACATTTCAATGAAAAAGTGTCACAACAGTATAACAAAAACATATTTTAGTGACACCATACTAGTGGCATGTTCTTAAAAAATGTCACAAAAAGAATATTTGGTGGCAGTTTTTAGAAAAATGTCATAGGGCCACAAACATACAAGACTCTTGTGGCATTTCAATTAAAAAAAGTGTCACTTCACTACAACAAAAAGGTCATTACAACAAATTTACACTTTAGTGACACTACACTAGTAGCATGTTTTTAGAAAATGCCACAAAAATAAAAATTGGCATTAAATGTTTTAGAAAAATACCACAGAATCACAAAACATATAAGGCTCTAGTGACATTTCAATAAAGAAATGTCACATCAATTTTAAGACATTTTATAAAATAATGACACAAAAAATTATGTTCGTGACATTTACCAACAGATGCCACTAAACTTAAGTTGCAATGGCATTTTTTAAAAAATGTCAGGACACTAGGTAGGTGCAAATTAATTTTTATGGCACTTAGGTGAAAAGTGTCATAAACAAATATTTTATAGCATTTTGAGAAATGCCACTAAGCCAAAAACTTTCCAAGCTTATAATGACATTTTTGAAAAAACAAAATGCCAATATATTTTCTAAATTTTTAAACTGCAGTAAATGATTAAAAATAAATTTTCTAAATTTTTAAAATGCAGTAAATGATTAAAAATAAATGAATGAAACTCAATATACACCACAGGAAAAAACATATTCGTAAAGGCCAGTCGGACCAAAACAGCATTAGTTGCCAAAAGTAAAGCTTTTTGGCGACTAAACAATTTTAGTAGCCAAAAGTCTACAATTGGCGACTAAAACTAAGTTTGGTCGCTGATTATATGGGTTTTAGTGACTAAAAAATTTTAAGTAGCCCAAAGTAAAGCTTTTTGGCGACTAAGAAAATTTAATAGCTAAAAGTTTACAATTGGTGACTAAAAATAAGTTTGGTCGCTGATTATATAGGTTTTCCCGACTAAAAAAATTTTAGTAGCCAAAAATAAAGGTTTTTGGTGTCAAAAAAATTTTAGTAGCCAAAAGTCTACAATTGGCGACTAAAAAATAAGTTTAGTCGCCAAAAGTGGTCATTTTTAGCGCGGGAGAACTAAAATCCTAAGGCGGGAATAAAATTTTTTGGTGACCAAAATTTTGGTAGCTGGAAGTGCATCTTCGGGGACCAAATCCGATTTTGGTCGAGAAAAGTTAAGTTTTTTAGCAACTAAAAAACAATTAGTAGCCAAAAGCATAGAATTGGCGACTAAAATATATTTTTAGTCGCCAAAAGTGGTCCTTTTTTTATTTTGATAGTAAATAGTTTATTTTACATAAATTATGTTTAATAAAATAATTATGTTTATACATATACTTTTATATTAATATGGATGTATGTACTATATAAATAATATATGTTGCACATATAATCATGTGGTGCTATAGAGGTGTAGTGGGAAGAGTGTGGTGTATAAGGTTTATGGTGCAGAAGGTTGGCGGTTCGAGTCTTCGCAAGAGCGGATCAAATTGTTCTACAACGAATTATCATCATGAATGGCACTTGATAGCGTCACGAATAGTGCCTACCATGACATTAAAGTGTCACTGAAAGGTTTTAGTCTTGATGGCGTAATGACACTTACAATTGTCACTAACTTTTTTTTTAATGGCGCTTGATAGTGCCACAAATAATATCTACCATGACATTAAAATGTCATTGAAAGTTTTCAGCCATGATGGTGCAGTGGCATTTGCAAGTATCTACCGTGGCACTCGTATCTACCATGGCACCGATAGAAGTAGCACTTGTTCAAAATGCCACAAGACCAAAAAATGTCATTAGAAGAATAGTTTTGTGGCACTTTCAAATGTCACTAAACTAAAAAAATATTGTAGTGAATAAAGGGTTTTTTTTTTTAAATCATAAGGGCGATCGCCCTCACTTACCCTACTCTAAGTTTATTCTTGTACCAAACTCAAACACTCTTAAATTGATATGATTAACTTGAGATAATCAAAACGCTATTGCCAATGTAGAAATCAACTCAAACAATCTAATTCAGTTAACAAAATGGTAAACATGAAAGCCCACAAGTCTATTTGGTTGTAGGTTTGTTTTGTTTATTTGTTTTTTTAGTATATGATTTCGTTCCTTGTAACCAATCTAAACGGATGTAGAATTTCATAAAAGACATAAGCAAATTCTTTTTATGTCAATTAGTTTTAGCAGAGATGGCAAAACTGATTCTAACATTTTTTTTTCTTCCTATTTTTGTAAATAGAACAATGAAAAGTTAAACACAATTATTTTCATATCGTTTCATTTTTATGTGAAAACCTTTTGATGTTCCTTAAAATGTTAGTTGTTTTAAGTGCTCAAAACTAGTAGAGTTGAACTAAGCAATAAGTTCAATTCAAAAAATAAAATAAAAACAAACTGAGTAATAAGTTGTTCAAGTTTAGTTTAAAAATTGACGAATTTTAAATATGTTCAACCTTGACTTATTTGGCTTTCGAAATGATTTAAAATGCACTTTAATCGAGTAGGGTTTGAGTAGTTTTTTAATAGTTCATATAATAAGTCAAATCATGTAATAAGTTATTCAAGTTTAGCATGAAAAATATAACATGATTTAAAGTGTATTTAAGTTTTACTTATTTATATAATAAACCAATCTTAAATAAATTTTTAACAAGTTGAACACGAGTAGTTTGATTTGTTTTACAAGTTTAGTTTTTTAAAACACTTTCTTAAAATAATTGTTGAAAACAATTAACCAAATAAATTATGTTTTTTTAAAAAAATAAAACAAAAAACATAAAACAAAAACACACCTTAAAAAAACAAAACAAAACTTTATTGTGAGAATGAGCTTGTAGTTGTTTCTTGTAGTTATGTAATGGAAGACTACCAAAAGAAGATGCAAGCATTGTCCGAGATAATAATGGGCTTGATGGTGACGTCTTTGGGCTTAATGCGTGAAGATGTGAAATGGTTGAAGCCCAACAATGGATCCAAACCTCCACAGGCCCTACTCCAATTGAACTCATACCCGGTCTGCCCGGACCCAAGTCGGGCCATGGGCTTAGCCCCTCACACAGACTCATCACTCCTCACCTTGCTATACCAAAGCAACACAAGTGGCCTCCAAGTCCTCCATGGAAACAGTGGTTGGGTTACCGTGCCGCCCCTCGCCGGTGCACTGGTCGTCAATGTCGGCGACCTAATGCACATCCTCTCCAATGGTCGGTTCAAGACCACATTGCACCGAGCAGTTGTCGACAAGGCTGAACATCGCATCTCGGTTGCTTTCTTCTTTGGCCCATCAAGGGATGCCAAAATCTCACCGTTGATTAAGTTGACTGACCATGATCATCCCCCTCTTTATCGCCCGGTGACATGGAAGGAGTACCTAGGTGTAAAGGCAACTTACTTCAACAAGGCACTTGATTTGATTCGTACCATGTAGATTTGTCGGTGAATATCATCGGATTGTTCAATCAAATAAAATGAATAAAATGGTACAATCTTCTATCAAATCAATTTTGTTGGATGTCCTAGACAAATTGTATAGTTTTGTAAATGTCTAGATTTAAAATTTAATTTGTTTTGAAGTTTGTGAGTTTAGAATATAACAATAATTGCTTTTCACCAATTTTTACTGTTGAGATTTAATACAAACTCTAAAAGTTTTCACATGAATGGAGAAGATTATGAAAAGTTCAAGAGAGATCCGGAAGATTTTAGAATATCTTAGAACATTGGAGAAGATTGGAGAAATCTAAACAAATCTGGAATGTTCCAGAAAGTTTTAGAATATTTTAGAGAAGTATAAAAAACTCTACTACGTATTAGAATAATTTAGATAATTTTAGAGTACATTGGGAGTATGAATGTGAAGAAATACGATATAGTGACGGTAGATGAGAGTGTTAGGGGAAGAGGTAGTCCTAATTTGACGTGGGATAGTGTAGTAAATAGAAATATGAATCTCCTTAATTTAATTAACCAAATGACATTTAATAGAGTCGAATGGAGAAAAATAATTCATATAGCCGATCTCATTTAATGAGACTTAAGACTTGATTATGTTTAGTTTGGAGTGGAAGCATGGGTGTAGCATAAAATATTCCAGAAGTAAATTTATTACCACTCATTTTGTAGATGAGGTTTGCTTCTAGGAACTTCTGCACTAGTATAAATATGAGATGGGTTCATATACTAGGCATTAAGTAATCAAGCACTACAAGAATGATCTAAGTGTGGGGTGTCTTAAAAGTCTTGTATAAGGAAGGCATAAGCCTAAATGTGGGTGCTCAAAGTATTGTGTGAATGATTCCAAATGAGGTTTCCTTTGTGTATTTAAGTATATCTTTTGTACTCAATAAAATTCACTTTTGTGAAACCCATTGTTTCAACTCGACATTCACAACCCCTATTTTTGTCATTGGTAACTTTTTCACCATTTTTCAGTGCACAACAGCTTTATTTTAGCACAAGAGAAAGTTAATTGCAAGCCAAAAATATCTTTACTGCACAAACTGTTTTGAGGAAGCAACATCACACTTGGGCTACCCTTATTAGTTAGGATTCCTACACCTCAGGCAACTTAGTTTGTTTATAACTTTTTTTATTTTGAGAGTGTATATCAAATTATTCGATGTAATTTCTATTAGTAACTTATTAGGTAGAATAAGTGGTAATTTCTATTAGTAACTTATTAGATGAGTGGGAGCACTAATTAGTGCTACCACTAATGATGTGACAGTAGGCCTCATCATGAATGATTTGATGCTTTGGCCTTGGTATTGTATTTTTTTTCTTTTTTTATTGAGTACCATGTCATTAGTGATCTTTTTAGAGCTCCAAAATTAGTGGTCTCTATCATTGTTGTTATTTAAAAGTTAAGAATGCTTTTGACTTTTATTTTTTAATTATTAATTTTCAACTTATTATAAACTACGCCAAACATGACCATTGTAAACTAATTCAAGGGGCTGTTAGCAAGATGCCTAAATCCCATACACAGGCAAAAGCATAAAACAAAATTCCTAAAATACACCTCTCAAATCAACACAACGTTGTTGCCATGAACATAATTACTAAAAAACTACAAATCCAATAAAATTTATTTTTTTTTAAAAAAAAAAAACCCTAAAACCCATGCTCCTAAAAAATCAAACCTAGCGTTGGAGGGCTTTGGCTTCTCTCCAGAGGTTTCTTACTGGTAATTGTCTAGAAAACATGGCTCGGTTAAATTTTTTCAAAGATTCTTACCATTAAGAGTCTTCCATTTAATGACTCTTATTGGTATGAAATCTCCGTTTAATGATTCTTACCAATAAGAAATCTTAACTATCCAATCTAGTTGAAAGTTCAACCACAGAGAAGCTTCAAAACATATTTTCATTTATTGTATTATATTATTTATATTTATTTTTCTTTCTTAAAAATCACATGTATGAAATTCAAATCGTGTTTGATTTCAAAAGGGATTGATATAAGAGTCTATATATAGAAGACTCTTACTCAACCAGAATATATATACAGCATCTTCTGACTTTACTCTCTCTCTCTCTCTCTCTCTCTCTCTTCTTTGCTGTATTTTCTATATTCTATGTTCCTAGGCAATCAATATAGACTTGGTAAATCTATTTAGTGTAACTGTATATTGTGTTAGATTCTAGTGAGTTTTGTGTTGTATATTGAAATCTTTTGCGATCATTAGAACCTACATGAAAGGAGTGCATAACGGCATTAGGATAATGTCTTTGACATACGTCTCACAATTACACATGCTATTTCTAAGCTTTCTTCTTCTGTAATTTGTTTTATACTCTATTTAATCAAAACCATGTAAATAAATATAGGCAAGTTACACAAATTTTATAACTCCAAAGAACTACATTTAATTCAAACTTTAATTCATCCAATTAAAGCACACACTATTCATGGAAATAACTTATGTGTATAACTCTAGAAAACTAGAAGCAATTTCACATGCAAATTAGATAGTAAAGCTAGAAGCATGCAAACTAATAGGATGAAACCAAATAAGTAGCATGCAGTTTATGTAAATAATTTGAATTGTTTATATGTAATAAACTAATAACCAAGCACTTCAAGTATATAACCATTCTATTCGATCAATTTCATAGGAAAACATATATGAGAAATCTGTTTTAAGCTTGTTGTTCAAATTTTGAAATTAAATAAATAGATTTATGAAGAAATCAAATTATATATATACTAAGAACACATGCTAATAATTCCAACTAAATTTCAACAAAAATACACAAAACAATAAAAGGGTAAAGAGACTAAACCGAAGCCTGCACGGAAGCAGTTTCCTTAAAACAGATTTCGCCGCCTCACTGGTCGAGTGCTTGAGGAATCCCGGCGTCTGTCTCCCAGGATACGACGGTCAAAACCAGCTACGGCAGAAGCACTCTCTGTCTAGCTTAGCGAACAAAACAGTGGCAGCACTCTCTCACTGTAAGAACTTTCAGGCAAACTGACTTGTGAAATGGAAGTAAAAATTTCTGTGTTTGAGACTTGACAGGAGGGTCTCAATTTATACATATATAGGGGAGAGAGGAAGAGCCTCCAGCCTTTATGGCTATTCATAATGCACCATTAACCTCTGCAATAAAGGCAGGAGTTACAAACCCCATTAATGCAGGAGTTACAAACCCCATTAATGCAAGAGTTACAAACCCATTAATGCAGGAGTTACAAACTTTATTGCCTTTTTTCCATGAAGCTAACTTCATGAGGTAATTTCTCATTCAAATCTCAATGGTTTTTGGCCATTCTATCTATGGTGTAAAGATCTCAATGCAAAGTATCTAGACCCACTTGGGCCCAACACAATAGATGGTTGGGACCCACTTTAATCTTTAATTAAAGTCACCACAATTTAATATTAAATTAAAGTCCCCAAAAATCATTTTTTCCAACAGAAAATTCAACCATAGAGAAGCTTCAAAACATATTTTCATTTATTGTATTATATTATTTATATTTCTTTTTCTTTCTTAAAAATCACATATATGAAATTCAAATCGTGTTTGATTTCAAAAGGGATTGATGTAAGAGTCTATATATAGAAGACTCTTACTCAGCCAGAATATATATACAACATCTTCTGACTTTACTCTCTCTCTCTCTCTCTCTCTCTCTCTCTCTCTCTCTCTCTCTTCTTTGCTGTATTTTCTATATTCTATGTTCCTAGGCAATCAATATAGACTTGGTAAATCTATTTAGTGTAACTGTATATTGTGTTAGATTCTAGTGAGTTTTGTGTTGTATATTGAAATCTTTTGCGATCATTAGAACCTACATGAAAGGAGTGCATAACGGCATTAGGATAATGTCTTTGACATACATCTCACAATTACACATGCTATTTCTAAGCTTTCTTCTTCTGTAATCTGTTTTATACTCTATTTAATCAAATTGTATAAAATCTTTTATTTAATAATTTTTTATTCTGCAAAATCATAATTGAGGAAATTATTTTTTAATTCCTATAACAATTTTATGTTATGTTTCATTTTTTGAAATCTATTTTATGTTTGAATTAGATTCATACAAAAAATTAATTTAGTCCTATGAAATGTATTTTGTTTCCCCCTTGTATTACACAGTTTTATTAGTTATTCTTCTACCATTGCTATATTTCTTGTGTAAATTCAAGATAGCCATTTTTCAATTTTGAATTTTATTTTCTATTAGAACTTGGTTCAACGAACAACATTTGATTTGGTAATTGCATTAAATTGTGTGTGATAATGCAGTTTGATCGATGAGAGATGGGTCGGACTGATCCAAGTGTTCTATGAGATGATTGATCTCCGTCCCCCTAGTTAGACCTGTAACAAGTTCGGTAGGAAGGCTCCAAAATGGGGATGGTTCCTTCTTGTGGACACTCCAATGATCAAGTTAGATGAGGATATGGCGGGAGTAAGAACTCAGGAAAATTAACAGAGCCTTCAGAATGGAGAGAGAGAGAGAGAGAGAGAGAGAGAGAAAGAGAGAGAGAGAGTATTACTTGTTACCAAAACGTTCCTCAAAATCTTCCTTTTATCTCTTATTAATCATTTCCTTGTCTATTCATGCCATCCCATTGGCCGAAAGTCTATCACCTGCTTACCGTCGATCATGGCCATTTCACAATGCTTCAGAGTTAGAGGTCTTATTGCATTTAATGCTTTGACAGTTGTATTTAATGTTTGGCGCGTGGGTTCAACATCTTTGTAGGATCTGTCTCCCATGTGGCTAGCTTCTTACTTGACGCGTGCTTAACTGCAATTGGGTCTAGGCCACGATGGGTTCCTTACTGGGCCTGCCGTTGGGCTTCACCTACTGAACTTTGGCTAAGTGACTATTTGGAAAACCCAAGATAACTGCAGGTTGGGCCCCCTTGGGCCATGTCCATTAGTAGTCTCCCGTTCTTGAGTGCAGCTT